GGCTGAGTTCTTCCTGTTCTCCTCGCTCAGCGTGGGAACAGCCGCGGACAAAATCTGCCCTGGAATCAGCACACAAAAGAGGCCATGAAAGTAACACGACCAGAGCAGGTAGTAATTGCTCCTTTCTGCTGAAATGCTCCGTCTGTTTGAAAAGGAGCACGGCTTGTGGTGTGAGGCTTTCAGTTTGACAGCCGTGAAGGGGGCAAGAAGTGTTTTTTGCCGTTGTGGGACGAGAGCATGGGTCAGCTGCAGGCGAGCACACGGAAAACACATGTCCACTAAGGCTGACGCATTGTACAAGGCTGAGGCTTAGTTAAAAAGCTAAACAGCCAAATCAATGAGGTGGCAGGAGACTCGCCCTCCACAACACGGTGGCTCGCCTCCTGCTGCCCGCTTTACTTGGTGTTAGAATATAAAACAAACTTTCAACTTCCACAGCGTGCTGATGTCATTTTCTGCTCTCTCTGGCTACTGCAGACCGGGCTTCAGCGATGATTAAAGCACATCAATACTCGGCCTGGCCAACAAACAAATTGATTAGTGAAAATTAGACCCCAGTTAAAATTACATTGCATGCCAAAGTCGACCGTTCCACTTTGAAAGTCTGGAGGGTCTTGACTAATGGAGAGCTCTGGAAAATCTGTCAGGGAATTAATATGTCGCTGCTCACTTGCTCTTTAGCATGGATTTGACGTATTCTATTCCCCACAGACCATCTCCACTCTAGTGTCTCAGCTTTCACAAAACCAGCAGCAATATTTAGTGCTGGTGTTTAGAAGCATTTTATCGTTTAACCTATGAATGTCAGAAAACAGTAAAAATGTCCATCATGTGTTCCTAGAGCCCAAGGTGATGTCTTAAGACCAAAGACATTCAATTCACAATGCTATAAAACAAGAGAAAAGCAGCAACTCCTCACATATGAGAAGCTGGAACCAGAGAACATTTTGGTGATTTTGCTTGATAAATGATTTAAAGCAATAATCAATTACCAAAACTCATTTTCTGTTTATCAACTAACCAATTCATAGAATAATTGTTTCAAATCTGCATATCATCATGTCAATCATCTTCTTATCATTTCTATTTACATTTGAACAAAGTTTAGTAACAAAACCCGGGATATAACAATCTCAAGACGAGGTCCATTAGTAGCTGTTCTGGAACTTTCAATCTAACATGATCTTACAGGGCTTTTTTCCCCCCCTGAGCACTTATTGTTCGTTTCATTTACCTCAGAAGTTGGGAGGTCAGAGCTGGGAATAATGTCACACCCAGGTTGACGGCATTCCAGTTAACAAGTTGGGAAAACCTGCACAGCCAGCAGTTGTTTAGAACTAGCCAGGTTAGCCACTGTTACACCGGTTGATAACAAAAAAAACACATTGTGCTGTATTTACTCATAATAAACACTGTAGCAACATGACCACAGCCAGCAGTTGGACAGCACTTTGTGAACAAAAATTTCTATGAGTCACAAGTACACAGAAGTGCTAATAAACAGTATAAACTACAGCCTTCACTAACTGTTGATACTCTGAGCAGCCATCTTGGATCAGTGCGGTTCTCCCAACTTTCCAAGCCAGAAATCTGACTGAAGGGGGCGTTCCCTTTGAAATTTCCAACTTTGAACTTGGAAATTCCTACTTCCCATGCCAAATGGAACGTACCGTTAAAAAAAAAGCCTTCTCATCCATGTTGGGCATGTTAGTTTGGTACTTTGAAGCCAGAAAGGACGAGAACTCTTTAAATTGCTCAGGAAATGAATGGAAAACAGAACGTCTACCATTTCATGACACTTGGGCAAAACATTTCCTGAGGAAGGTTGTGTCATACAATGAAAATTCTAGTAAAATACATCTTTTTCTTTTACCAATCTAAAAAGGAAGTGGCTACTGGAATCCAACCATAGCAATATGACCATTAATATTAAAGTCAGTGAGTGACAAGTGACTGAACTAGAGCAGAAAAGTTAGTTGACTGGTTGAAAATGACTGACCAACTATTGGGATATAGGATTAGCTGTTTTTTTTCTCTCCATTGACAGGACAACACATTTGAAGACATGTCAAAATTTTAGGACATTTTACAGAAATAAAATCATTTGTTTTAGTAAGAAAAACAATCAGCAGATCAATCAATAGTGAAAATAGGGAAATGTTGGTTGCCGCCTGGACACAGGTGCGATTATAGATGAACTGAACTTTCATATGCTGTTACACAGAAGAAACTTGGGCTCACTCAGTCGGTCCATCATGCCTCTGACAGACGCCGCCACCGCTCTCCGTAATGTCTGGTGAGCACGACGGCTGACTGCCTGTGTAATTCAGCAGGAAGCTGCAGCAGGAGAGAATGATTGTACTTCCTCAAATTAACAGAAGCAAGGAGGGAGAGGAGGGGTTGGGGTTTTTTTTTCTTCCCCCCACTGTGTTTTGACTGTAGCCAGCAGAGCACACGATGGAGCACATGGCTGAGCTTCAGGAAGAAAAAACGAGACCCGGTCCTGTTTCCTCACTGACTCCATGTGAATGTGGATGGGTGTTCAGGAGAATTAATTCCAAGATTATTTTCACCATAAGAACTGTCTCCTTAAGTTTTGTCCTGGAAGGGAGCTTTAGTCTGTCGATGAGAGCGGCGTACAGCTTGGCCTGCAGTCACGGTTCTCAGGGACACAAAAGCCCATTACTGGAGCTGAGCCCATAAGTTATCTGCAGCTTAAGCCTCTTTTCAGTGAACAAGTCCAGTTACAATATTTTGTTCAATTTATGGATTGTGTTCCTGTGAGAGTACATGAGTGGAGGGGCGAGCTCTCCAGAGGCTTAAGTAAGAGACAGACTGCTGCATGAATGTAATGCAAGGAGAGAGGTGTCAGATCTTAAACTAGAGCGCACGATCAACATTTCTTCCTGAGCTTCGGAAGATGAAGATGATGATATAGGCCTTCAATAACACCAGAACTCAGGCCACGATAGAAGAGGGTCGTCACATCCCACAGCGGGAGGGGGGGGGGGGGGGGTCAGAGATCCCATTAGCTTTGACATCTTGACAACGTCAGAAACAACAGAGCGTTTATTTTTGTCAGCCCAAGCCCACGCTCGCTCGCACCTCAGACAGAAAAAACAAACAAACAAACAAACAAAAACATCCTGACATAAACCTGTCTCCATGGTGAGATATGACAAAAACTCATGAGTATGTACTGAGAAGAATAAAATAAATAGTAGTGTTAGCGCAACTATTTAAGCGCTGGTAGCTTCAAAACAGGCATCAGTTTGAAGATCGTGAGCTTTAAACCAAAGGAAAGCAAAGAGATGAGGGAAGGAAAAGATCAGATGTTGGCAAGGCTAGTTTCTTTGGACGATGTTCTGACTCTAGGAGACGGTTCTGATTTCACTTCAGACCTCTAATATGTTACCTTCTGGGATGCAGCCTCATTTTGTGATTCCGCCTGGCAATACAGGTTTATCTCAACATCGGAATCTTGAATCATAATCAGATCATTCTTCAACTAATATTTACAGTTTGGCTATTTGTAGCTCAGCTTGCACTGCGAGACTCAGAAGCAGTTCTGCAGGACACATTTATGTGTCAACGTATATTTATGGACTCAACCCTGCAAGGTTCTCCTGACCCATGCAACCACCCTGCCAGAAGTGAGACTCCCCACTTTATTGTGCATCCAATCAGGCAGTTTCCACTTGCATCTGTGGTTACACTGAGCCTCAGAGGCGAACCGTCCTACTGCCAAAGACTCACAAAGAACCACTAATCTGTTCTCTTACGACTGCTGTGACGCTCACCAGCACTGCTCAGCACCCGTATCTGGACTGTCTCCCCTGGGATCTTGTGACACCTTTTTGGCAACCTGGACTTTACCTGCAGGCGTTGCTGAAACACTCATCCGTCCATGTCTCTGTGGCAGCACATCCCTCTGCTGCACTAGATAATGATGTAATAGATAGCAGTTCCTCCTGCCTGCTGACATGAGAGACTTCTCTCCAGAGACATATTCTCATTGTCTTGTTGCCCTCTAATCCCAGTCACCTGCCTCTCTCAGATCCAGCCAAACCAATGCTGGATATGGAAAAACTGACAGAGAGGACATTTATTATTCCAAAAAAATCTCGGAGTTAACTTGACGGGAGTTTTATTCGGGTTTATTGATGCCATCATTACACGGCTTCTTCCACGAGCAAAATGGTTTCAGGGTTTGAGGAGGAAATTAGAAGTTTGATGGCACTCTCTCCTGGGAGAAAAGCAATTACGCACAGCAATGAGAACACAATTGTCGGAAATGGGCTCATGAAAGAGACATAAAATTATTCGACAGACACAATAGCTTAAAGGATATGAGGAAAAGCATCCACTAGGTTTCTTTTCTTAAGGAACACAACTGCACAATCATAGATTTCTTGTGGCATAACAGCGTTCTCTTTTATCTGCCCACTTTTCGCTGCAATGTAAACCTGTCATTTAATGCCTAAACGAAATTGATGGCGCGATAAAAGTTCCCAATAAACTAAACGTGCTTTTCACGGAGATGAAATCCATTTGCAGAAATGAAGAGAAATCGTGTCAAAAGCAGGCTGACACTTGTCGTAAATCGTTTCTGACAGCTCCTAATGGAGTGTTATTACTGTTGCGCACAACGTTCAAACCCACCGGCTGCGAGATGTTATTTACAGAAGGTCTGCGGGAGTGAAACGGTGCGGGCAGACAGTGAAAACACAGCTTTAACTGCAATACTGCTGTTAACTTAGCAAACTACATGAAGCACAGCGTGTCCTTCACACAAAACACCGAGGGAGAAGGCTTTTCACGGAGCACCGTGCAGAGCCCCGACCACAACACTGTATCAACTCCGAGCCAAACACGCAGATATCCAAACACCGCCAGCGCAGCGTCCGGACACACACTTGTCAGACTTCACCAAACACAGGAAGAGGCAGAATATGTGGCAAACGTGAAATGCGGACACAAGCTGGTGAAGAGTGACTTACCCGAGCAGTGAATCCACATCTGTTTGATTAGACGGGAGATTCAAACGTCACACTTTGTTGCATTCAAAACGTACGAAAGGTCTAAATGAAGACGAACAGTAACTCTCCGCCGACCGCGGTGGGCTTTCAATTAAAAAAATCTTCCTACTTGATGTACAAGGTAACTATTTAGTTGTGGCAAATGGTGCCTAATCTATCCTGTGGCATTGCTTTATGATTGACAGCAGCATGGCCAATGGGGTCGAGCTGTCCGCGCTGCTTCGACCAATCAGATCATCAGCGCGGAGTTGGTGGAAGGTGAGCTGCGAAGTAGGAAGAGCTGATGGCGACATCATGTGTTAAGAGTTTATATCCCTCCGCCTGTCATGTTTTGGGAGGAACGACTTCACTTTCACTGCTTTTTTTTCTGCACATCAGAGCCCACAGTTAGCACTGTTGTTATTTTATTATTGTAAGCTGCGTTATATAGAGGCTCCTACAAGCAACTAAAACATTTTGTACATTTAAAAAAATTTACATAGGCCTATTTTTTGGGAAATTTATAAACGTCTGAATGTCATCATGTAGACCTCTAGAGAAGATACTGAAGTTGTACATTCAGATTGTCTAAACATAACATTATTCTTAGCTTTATTTATAGATGTTGTAAATGTCGTAATTTGTAAATATGATGGTCTCTGCTGTACTTTCACCGCTTGGTGACAAAAGGGCGAAGACGTGCGAATCCCCGCTCTACTTTATCTGTTTACGGCGGAGGAACACGATATTTACAGTGAGGGGAGTGACGTACAGTGACAGTCTCTGTGGCGCGTGAGGCACGGCAGCAACACATGCACAGAAATTTATCTTCGCACGCGCGTACTTTCAGAGTTTTGAGAACGACTATACGTAGAGGACGTACAGGTTCTATTTTATACCTTTTCACTATTTCCACCTTCTACTGTGTGTGCGTTAGGCTACGTCACGTTACGTCAGTGTGGGAGATTTAAAGTAATACGCGTGAGATTTTGGTCAAAATTTAAAGTGAAGTGGGAGAGTCCCAACACACAGAGTTGGTATTAAACAAGAACATCAGTCGATCAATCAAACATTGCCTAATTTGAACACCTCTCATAGCCTACACGACAACAAACAAATAAAACAACCTGCATGTGAAATCACATGAGAAAATTAAGGTAGGCCTAAAGATAAAGATTTGTAAACAGCATGATGAAAGGGGAGGTAAACTAGTCATGGTATATTCAGATAGAGGCTATACAAAAGTGAAGAATTTACTGAATCAGCAAATACAATCGCAAATGATGACTCAGAGTAGAGTAGTGTGCTGCTTAATGTTGCTCTGATGATCAATATGTAATTGCTGAAATGAAAAACTACCATAAAATAGTGCACCCATTTACACTGACAATGTTACTGCCTATGCAGCTGAAACTTCACAATTGACGCATGTTGAGTTAAACAGGTTAGACTGGCTTTACTTCATTCTTCCCTGATGTCTTTGAATACTGGACAATTTGAACAGTTATTTAAATGAAACCATGTGAGAAAAAAAATCACCATGGTGCAATTAGGGGCCCCAATTGGGTGTTGGCTGTGTTTTTGTAAGGGACCACAAGCCAAAAATCACTGGGATTCACTGATATAATCTTTAAAATATGTTGTATTTCATAAGGTTATCATGCAGTATGTTACTTGATAGTGAACGTCTTCCACCTCCAAAACCGTTGATCGAGGATTTAATGTCAGGTCAAGAATCCCTAAGAAAATATTAAACAGACATGGGTATGACAATAAAAACCACAACAATAATGGAAACGGACAAAATAAAAAGTATGTGAAGAGTTCAAATATGGAACAGACACATGCCTGAATGTGATGTGTGGTCGTCTCACAGAGGGAATGTGCCACACAGTCTGGACTGCCCCGTCACATTCTGAACAAGTGCAACATATGGAAACAGCATCACACAGCAGCGAATGGACAGACGACTCAAGGAATGGCACCTGTATGTTTTACAGCTGCAATGTGCAACTTTTCCAACATCATAAGGAAAATACAAGAATATTTGACTCTGCATATCTAGACATAAATCCCCTTGAAATCAATAAGATGTTTTGGATGTAGTTTTAAATGTGGGTGTGGCCATCGAGGTGAGGCAGAGGGCTGAGTGACGCCTCATCATTATGACTAACAATATTTTTACCTGACATGCTGAGGGATATTATATTTCCTGCTGTGATGTCACTAAACATACCATTGGAAGTCTTAATGATTTGTTAATGAAGTAGATGAAGCATTAGACGGAACTGAGAGTAATGAAGTAACCAGTAGTAGTAGTAGTTGTACTGTTGACATCAGCTTAGACACAGACAGAGAGAGGGAGTGACACAGAGAGAGATTACACAGTGTTTTCTGCTTTACATAAGAAGCTTATGTGATGTGTGGGGAATTGCAGCAGTCAGATGGACGTCCCGCTGCCTTCTCCTCGCACCGTCCTGCTCGTACAGCTGGGTAGTCCAGCGCTCAGCCGCTATGCCCCGGGGTCAGGGAAATGCCATGGGAAAAATGACAACAAACAGCCAGGCCAGAGTTTGGAGCAAAAAAAACAAAACAAAACAGAGAAACCGGAAACAGAGCCCACATCCATGGCAGGAACAGCGCCATACTCAGAGCTACTGATCCTGCTGTTATTGAGTAGTATAATCATTATTATAGAGCACATTCTGCTGCAATGACAATCACAAATACTGGTTTGTTGTTGTTGTTGTTCAAAACAATGTCAGTCAGCAGAACTTTTCATTCAGCCCACTCAAAAAACTACAGTTTGGCGCCCCCTGTTGAAGCACTGCTGAATCACTTAGCTTTATGAACAGCAGTTCATTGGGTGCAAGACATTGTATTGATGTCATAATTAATTTTCCAAGATTAAGATTCACTTCGCTGCACTGCTGAGCAAATGTTCTGATAATGTGTTCTTTCATATTCACATATTTCTATATAAGGTCAAAGAAAGTTCCTGAGGGCTGAACATGTTTGCAATAAAAACTGGAGCATTTTTAGAGCGCTGCTTCACGGTTACCTGTCATGTTGTTTTCATTTTGTCTTCTTTTTGGTCTGCGACTGTTTTTATATCCAGTAAGGGGGAATCTTATTGCTCCAGCATACCCTGATATCTTAGACAACAGTGTTCATCCAACGTAGTGTTTGTCCCTTTCCTGTTTCAACATGAGTCCCGACCTCAATCCCATCCAACACTTTTAGCATCACATGGAATGCTGACGGTGAGCCAGACCTGATCAACAGCATCAGTGTTGGACTGACTTATTAGGTTCTTGTGGCTGAGTGGGGGAAAAAATCCCTGCAGCCAGGTTCAAACATCTGCTGAAAAGACTGAAACCAGAACTGTGGAGGCTGTTATGGCAGCACATTAATGCCCGTAGTGTCACATGTGTTATATCAAACTTAAAACATTTGAGCATCTTCAAATTGTTTCAGTACCTCTAAAATATCCACATGGTGTTTTCTGCTTGGTACTTTAATTGCTTGAGCTAATGTTTGTGCATACTGCAACTCTGGGATGAAAAACAGGCTCAGCTGGCTGTATTTAGCAGAGTTCACATATATAAACAGGAACTCAATAAGCCCACTATTGTCTTTCAGACGGAATATTCAGCTCACAATGCTCTGGAAGATTGCTAATGTGTTTGAGAGGGCATGAGGTCACAATGGCTGGAGAACACTGCAAAAATGACGATTGTTATGCAATCAAGTGGAGATGCATTTTGAATGAATTGCTGATGTGAAGAGGGCTGCTCCATGTTGGTGCAATAACTCCAAATGTTCCACCATCAGAGTTTACAGGCTGCCCGACATCTTGATAGAACGATAAATGATCTACTGAACACTTGTGATGTTGTTGAGGTTACATAACATTTTTTTTGAAGGAGAGCTGTTCAAGGAGATAAATATGGGGAAAGTTAAATTGTATTTTATTAGTAACTGTATTTAAACATTACACATTTAACATTAAACTGTCATGTTTTAGCCATGCACTGTGGCTCTAGGGATGGGAATTGTGGTCGGTCAGTACACCACTTTGGTCCAGACTAAAATATCTCAACAATTATTGAACGGATTTCCATGACATTCATGTTCTCGGATGATGTATCGTAATGACTTTGGTGATCCCCTCACGTTTCCTCCAGCATTACTACTAGGTTGACATTTGTGGTTTTAGGTGAAATGTCTCAACAAATATTGGATGGATGCCACTGTCAGCTGTTTTCATTAGGAATATTTCCTCAGGAGACAATAGTTCCAGTAAAAAATCCAGGTGGTTGCTGTTTTGGTGACATCAAGCCCGATCCCCATGTTTATAGGCCGCTCAGCTAAAGCTGATGGCACCAGGCGTAGCAAGTTTTATCAAACTGCTACTTTGAAGGGGCTAAAACCATTTAAAACCATTGTTGTTATTATTCTCACAGCCTGCAGTCTGCCAGTCAGGAGATCAGTCACGGACAGATGGAGGGTTTGAGGCCTAAACAGCCATCAACATAACAAAACTTAAGCAAACATGTAGCTAATATTAGTTAGTTCAAAATAGAGAGGCAACGACATTCTGACATACAGTAGGCGTTAGTCAAAGCCAGACAGTGAAGTCATGTGAGGACATGCAAATGCAAAATTACCTGACATGCTTCCTGAACTTTCAGTTACACATCTTCACACTTTTGCCACAAACTTTCACATATTTCCTCTCACGGTCGTCTCACGTGCAGTGAAACATCTCTGCGCACACCGCGGGCTTGCTTGTGTCTGCAGCAGCAGCAGCAGCCGCCGCAGCATGTTCTCTCAGACTACACCGATCTGCTCTGTCTCTCATCTCCGGGCATCATTTCAACCAGGTCATCAGGAACGCACACGTAACAACGAACATGCAGCAGTGTGTGTACTGTCGGGTAAATTAAAGGAAAAACCTGAATACAGTAAATGAGTGTGAAAACATAATCAATGCAGTTGCATTTGTATGGAGAGCTCACTGAATGGTTTGACTATGAAACACGAACATGAAAAAATGCCACCTTATATTCTTTAGCATAGATTTACAGAGGAAATATCAGAACTCCATAGAATTATACATGATCACTATTTCATTTGTTTCTTCAGTTGTAGGATGCAGGAAAAAGCATTTTCACAGGCACTCTGTGTTATACTGTAACATGTCATATTCAG